GTGACATGAAAAATAATCTATTCTCAACTTATCTACATGTTATTATCTATTGATGATAATTCATCATTATAATAATGAAGTAGTAAATGATATGCCTGATACCTGATTATGTGGATAATAATGAGTCTTTAGTCTTATAAACAGTGTCATTAGTTTGTCGGTAGTTTTCTGAATCTCTCCTTCAGAACAGATTCTTTCTTGTGTTCTTCTGTGTTTTGCAGATTTAGTGTAAATCTGTTTTTCTCACCGGAGCCTTGTGGAGCCGTCGTCCTGCAGTAGCGCGGTGCAGCCGGGCCAGGCCGCTGCTGTGCGCCCTGTGTGATGTTCGAGGACCCGGCGGAGGACCAGACAGAATAACAACACAGCGGAGGAGCCATTGAACGATCCGGAGGAGAAGCAGGCTGCGATTCTACCCGGAGTCCTGTGTCGCACCACGGGACAGAGAAGCGAAGCCAGCCCGCACCTGTGGGGCTCGTTCTGGGGAGAGGACCCTGAGGTGGAGCGCTGCTGGAGCCGCACTCCCTGCTAGCTACCCGGCTAACGTGCAGCGTTTAGTGCCTGGATTTGCACAAAAAGCTGGGATCCGTCGCGCTGGATTTGTGCGTGGACATCCGCTTCTCCCCACACCCCTCTGCCCGCATGTAGGTGAGGTCACGCCGGCCGCTTGGTCTCGCGGAACCGGCCGGTTAGCTCGCTAGCTCGAAGGAAGGAGCGACCCGTCGGCGCAGCTGCGAGCCGGACACAGCCGCGCGTTCGCTCGGCGTGAGCACCAGCGCCATGCCGCGGCTTGACAGCGGCCTCTCCGCGGAGCTAACCCCGGCGAGCTAACGCTAGCCGGGCACGGCAGGCCGCCTCAGAAGGTCGCTACCACCGCACAGTTCGGCTGATTAGATAAATCACAGCTCAACGCCGGGGACGCACTTTGAGCTTCTCCTCATTCCCGCGGGTTCAGACATGTTAGAGGCGGATACCGCCGGCAAACCGTTCATTAGCTAGCGGGGGGACAGCGCCGGGGCTGGGGGTTGTTTACAGTGTGCTAGCGTGTTTATCTCTGCCAGGTGCTGTTAGCATGCGAGCGAGGAGAAACCCGGGTTAATTCACCACGCTGAGCTACGTGATTTATGATCATTGACCACGTGAACACGAATGATATCAGCATCGAACCCGCGGTGTTGGGGTCGAACCAAAGCAAACGCACGTCTGGTGTGGCGGGTGTGACATTGTGGAGTTTGGCACAAACCACATGTGTCCAAAGGTCTTCGTGGTTTTGGTTTCGTCTCACTCCTCCAGCGGATGAGCTTCCCAGCAGAAGGCTGTTTGTCTCAGCCGTTCATTCATGATTGATGATCTGTGAGGAGGCAGACTGTCCTCTATTCATCCCCACCACTGCACCAAGCCACCACCAGTCTGTGCTGGTTACCTCTGAACCCCTCATGTAACCTGGCACAGAAGGACTCGGGGTATTTGTTTTAGTTTTCGAATGTGAGTTGTAGCTGCACTTTCTTCTTGTTCTCCCCCGCTGACACCTCACTGGAGCCACCAGAGGCTGGATGGGAACATGAGGAGCACGCCGTCTGACCTGGACCGGCTTCCGAGCAGCTTCGAGATCTGATCGGAGCACAACAGAGAGCCTGACTGTGTGGACCGAGAACTGAAGAGAGAATGAGATGGGGATAAGAGAGGCCCAGTGACAGCGCTGACCCCCCGCACCAGGAAGCAGAGGAGTGTCACAAGGCTGCGGACATGAGTCTCCGCCAACCCACCTCCACGCTGGACAGGTACGAGCCCACACACCGTCCACAACACACAGCAACAGGCACACGTCAGCGCCTTGTTTCCAAAACTGTAGGCCTCCCAGATAAGTCAATTGATGCGTATTTAACTTGCTTCCCAGTCTGGCCAATGAAAAACTAGTCCGACAGGCTGGGAGGTGATAGAGCTGCAGTCTGGGACAACGAGAACAGCAAAATACTGCACGCATGACAAAAGTAGCAGCTGGAGATTTCTAACACAAAACCAACTTTTAAGCAAAAGATTTCACAACAAGAGGAGAGTGCATACCTCCACCAGGGTCCAACGGTCCCCTTATGAAAACACATTGAAACTCACTATCAATCCCTAAATATGCCTGATTAATTTCCATATCAAGGAAAATGTTAAAAACTCTCTGTCTCACTATGTAAGAAACCATCTTGGATCCACCTCCTGATCCGGATCCGAAGCTGAATTACATCGATGCTTCCTCGGGTCATGCTCCGCAAAACTGAAAGGAAATCTGTTGTGTAGTTTTTGCCTATTCCTGCTAAAAAACAAACCTCCCTGGTGGAGGTAATGATATTTAAATTATTTACACCGAGTCTCGGCTTCAGTCTGTGGCGTCATTGTGTGACTCTTCACCCGCCGTGTCTGTGCTGTAGTTCATCATGTATGTCACTGCTGCTCATCACCACTTTGACCACGCAGCTCTACACCGTGTTTCTGTGACTGTTTTGTCCGATTGTCCTCTTTGTCTCGATCACGTCTTTCCTGTTTCTCCTGCTGTCAACCCTCTCTCTTGTCTGTGTGTTCTCCTTGCACCTGCCCATTGCTTCCCACTACTGTGTCTGTGTGTGTCATGTGACAGCAGGGCTCCCAATAGGAAAAACACCCACCTGCTCAGGTAGGACAGCTGTCCCATAAGCGCTCATGTCCGGGGTGTTGTTTGGGGGGGTTGGGGGTTAAATGACACCTACAGATCGTACACAAAGAAATGTGGGTTCTCTTGTTATTTCAGGGAACTTTGAGTCGAGGTGCAGGCAGAGGCATCAAGCTTTTGCATGAGAAAAGAAAAGTACACATACGTGTATCCATCCATACAACTCACATCAGAGCATGGAATTAAATTCAACATGCATCAGTAATGGTTGACACCTGATCCACTTCATCACCAAAAACTAACTACCACATACTTGGAATACATCCGTAGAAGTTAAATAAAGACGGACGATGCATCTACAAATACTCCCAATATCCAGGAATGAAGACAGAATATTCCGAACCCGAACGCCGCTATGTTCTGCCAGTGACGTCATCTGGCGTCAGACTCTGAGCCGTAGCAATCAGGAATGGATCCGAGGTATCGAGGTCCCGCTGACACACTAGCTTGACCCACTGCCAGTCAGTGTCAGCTGTCAATCATGAAGCTCAGCCCAGTTTTTATAGAATCAACTAACTAACTAACTAACTAACTAACTAATAACCAAACTCAACACTGGAACATACGTGAGCTGCTGTCAGACTTGCACTGAACTCCAGACTCACACAAACGTCCGAGTTGTTGTGGTTGCTCTGTGTTTGCAATCTGAATGAGACGAAGGGGTCGTGATCATGTGAACTTTAATCTGTTCGTCAGTTTTTACATCAAGGTTCGAGCTTCAATCTGAATTTCTTCTCTCTTGTCCCCCCCCCTCCCCCCACCCTATCTGTTTTTCCTTCCTTCCCATCATGCTTCGCTTTCAGCCCCTTTGCTGCTTGGTGAGTTTTCCTGTCGACTCTTCTTGTTGCAGCTCGATGTCTCTCTATACTTGTCCTCTCGCTCTCTCTAACCACTTCAGCTCTTCTCCCCCTGAGCTCCTCTTTTCCCTCTATTGTTGCTTTCTATGTAAGCTTCCCCTCTTTCTTCCGGGCCTGTTGCATCACTTTTTATTCCTCTCTCCTTCGCTGCTCTCATTTAATCTGTTCTGATGCTTGTTATTATTTCATTCTAAGCGTCTCTCTCATCCCTCAATCGCAGGCTCAGCAGTCTGACCATCGGGGACTCGGAGCGCAAGTCCTCTGCCACACAGCAGAGGGAGCCAACACCTGACATCCCGCTTGAGAGCACGGGTAATTGCTACGGCTTCAGGACCGATTTAAACTTACGCTACATTCAACATCGTCCCAAACACCCTTTATATTCTTCTGTCTTCCTCCCCCAGGTCCTGGTCTTGTCCAGAGATGTGTGGTCGTGCAGAAGGACCAGCTCGGTTTTGGCTTCACAGTGTGTGGAGAGAGAGTCAAGCTCGTGCAGAATGTCCGACCAGGTGAGACTGTCTAACAAGTAATATCTGTGAAAAGAAATTATATATTATACTTTAAAGACGTGGTATCGGATCGATGCATAGACTCACATACTTGCTGATGCCCCACCCAACATAAGGCATTTCCAATGCTGGTATCTCGAGTAAACTTCATAATCAAAATAAAGTCTTATCTAGTTAATATTTCTGTCCATGTAAACACAGTCACTGTCAAACACCGACATGCAGACAGACACAACTGAACTGCTGTTATTCATCCTCTCAGGTGGAGCAGCAGTCAAGGCCGGAGTCCAAGAAGGGGATCGTATCATAAAGGTTTTTATGACACTGCCATCCAATGATTGAGTGAGAGAGTCGTCGGCTTCTTGCTTGTTGCTGATTTTGATTGAATTTTGTCATCGTCCTCCCTCTCGCAGGTGAACGGCTCGTTGGTGTCGTCCATGTCCCATCAGGAGGTGGTGAAGCTCATCAAGTGTGAGTTTTTAAACAAGTGTGATTGACTCACGTTGAAAAGCCTTTTTTTGGTTTAATTAGCTTTTTATGTTTCTGCTTTTTAAAATCTCATCCAGTGTCTTTTTATTGACCAATAGCTGGACCGTATGTAGCTCTGACACTACAAGGACCTCCCCCGTCAGCTGCCTCCTTGCCCTTGGAGCCCCTCCCCACTGACCTCACCCCCAATCAAAGAACGTCTCTAGGCGGGGAGGCTCCACCCCCTCCGCCTCCGCCCCTGCCCTCTGGACTGAGCAGCAACTCTTCCCAAAGAATCACTGGACCCAAACCACTACAGGTGAGAGACATGTTCAGCATTCTGACGAGTGAACCCAGTGCATGTGTAAGTACTGAGCAAAGCCAATGTTAAGCTTCAGGACTTAAGTAAAAAAGTATTAATGCTGATTCTCATCATGATCCGTTGCTTTTCTTTTTTTAGGACCCAGAAGTACAAAAACACGCCACTCAGATACTCAGGAAAATGCTGGAGCAGGAAGAAGCTGAACTGCAGGTAACACGCTCGCACATGGTCCAGGAAATACAACTCACTGCTGATGCTCACGGATCCTTCAAGATGCTGTTGATAACCAGACCTGACGCTTCACAGGGCTTGATGGAGGAGCACTTGAGGAACCCGTCAGCGTCACTGGTGGAGCGGATTGAGAGCGCCAAGAGGAGAGCTCACCAAGTCAGGGTCAAGATTCAGCAGGATGTGGTGAGGACGTCGTTCACAGGGTCTCAGGGTTCACCTGCATGGAGCAGGGCAAATGGAATTTAATTAACAAAACACCCATATTCAGAATGTGGAACAAAAGCTCCACACTGGCAAACACACGCAGAAACGTCTGAGAAAGTCTGATATGATACAAATTTAACCGGTCAATCTTTTGCCAAACTGCTGCTTTTTTCTGCGTCTCCAGGAGGGAACACGATCTGAATCTATCGCGAGTTACGTCATAGCAGGAGAAGGTTTGTATCTCCCTCATTTTTCCACTTGAGCACAACTAAGGTCGACAAAGTTCGTGAATCAAATCGCTGTTGATTTCTAGGCCTTGCACAAGGAAAGGTTTTCCTTTTGTCGTAGTGTGATTGGTTTAGTGTGTGTGTGTGTTTTAAAACCGCTCTGTGCTTCTGCAGGTCGACAATCAGTGGACGTGAGTGAAGGAGACGTGGAGGTAGGCTGTAAATCTCATTTTAAACTGGTGAGGTTGTTTGTGTGTGTTTGTGCATAAGATTGGTCCCACTCATCCCGTCCCCCTCGTCCTCCTCCCTTCCTCCCCCTCCTACTCCTGCTCCTCCCCAGGCCTTTGAGAGTCCCCACTCCTCCCCCTCATCCTCCTTCAGGACCCCCCTCCACCGACGACAAAGCTCGGACACTCACACCCTCTCTGACTCGGTGAGACGGACACGCACTTGCATTCACTTCAACTTTAGAGTTATTCGGTCACTTGTTTCCTCTTCAGGACAACATTGAGATTGTGAGCGGAGGACGTTTATTCTTCCTGCAGCTGACTCAACGAGGCTCGTGTGTTGTTGTCCTGCTTCATCAGCTGCATCTTAGTGTTTTAATGTTCACGATGAAAATGATTTAAAGTCGTAGCTCCGGTCCCTCCCTGTCATTTGTTCCTCGTTCATTCCCACCCTGCACAAATGTGACCTGGTGGAAAACGCACACTGAGACTGAAAAATTATATTTTCAGTCATCTCAACCTTTAAATCTCAAGTCATCTAATTCTTTTGCATTGAGTGTGAAAATAGCAGATGTGGACCTTCTGTCCGTGTGTAACTGTGTGTGTGTGTGTGTGTGT